GAAAGGGTGAGCATGTTTTGGTGTGACGGGGATTCGAACCCGCGACCCTCAGATTGCGAGTCGAGTGCCCTAACCACTTGGCCATGCCGGGCCTGGACTAAAGGGATAATGTGGTTACTTGTTCATAGCCTGGTGTTTAGTGTGCAGGAATGCGTATACGGCCGTTGTGTAACTTTGCAATAAAAACAGAAATTAAGAACAGCAATGCCTGAGCTTTGTGCCTCTGGACCTGGCCTCTTAGCCCATGTGTCGCATAAGGTTTCATTTAAGTTTTAAATACCAAAAAAACAGATAATCTGCGACGCAACAGGTAACAACACGTCTTGTTTGGATCTGTATTCTAAAACTCGTAAGCCTAACGTGCAATCTGCTTCGTAATAGAAAAGAAAGGTAGAAGAAAAACCACATTTTCAAAAGAAGTATCTTGCGAACTCAGAGTCGACTCTTAAATCACGATAATTTCCACAGGATCGCAAATCTCCTCCATCGTCAGTATTTTCCAAGTAAAACTTGCGATAAAGATTACCATTGTTTAAAAGCCACATACAGTTTAACGAGAGCTCCACACCACAGTTTTGACATTTGTTCTCCGCTGGAGATATTTTATCTACGTGTATTGACTGCATAAGGTATTACCCCAGATAATGTCCAATATGCACAAGGTTAGGGAGGGAGGGTTAAACCTCCATTCGTCAACACATAAGTCGGACACACCCCGGTCGTAAATCTCTCTAATGGAGCTGCAAATTAGGAAGGAGGGAGTAAAACTGGGAAAAATGTGGTAAAAATAGAGAAATTGACATGGAGAAACAGAGTAGTGATGGGGCAATAATACCCCCCTTCCACCAACGCCACACATAATTGCTTTCTGAATAGCTTAACCCAATTTATTTTGATTCAGCATCACGTTTTCAGAATTTGATAAGTTTCATTAAAACACACCAATCCACAGTATGTATATTTATATATATAATTAATTTAGTAGATTGGAAGTTATCAAATAATGGAATCTCCACAAAAATAATCCCCACTGTTCGTTTAAGGACTATACTTATAATAGCACATATATAGTGGTTTGGTTGATGTTAAACACGAAGCTATATGTGTTGTATATTAATTCAGCTCGTGGCTTCGTATGTATATGTGTATGATGTCCAGCTATCTGTTCCCATGGTTCTGGAGCTAGCAGGACTAAATTTAACAGGTGGACTTGGGATGGACTAAAAGGAATCATTAGTTATCTATATGTCATAACCCCATACAGAGAGTACCAAGGAGGCTGTGATGAAGGTTTAAATGTAGGTTTTCAGAATCGCTGAGCCCCAGAAAGTTTTAGGCTTAAGGCTTTATTTTAAGCAGATCAAAAAGTGCAATGATAATTTGCATGATTATTCTGTCGTTTAAGACTGTAACACATAATTAAAAAATAATTAAGCA